CACATGTTCTAGAAGAAGGAAATTTCCGGAGTACCTTTAGATGTGGTGAATGGTTTTGCTCAACTGCAAGAACCAAGAAGAAGCAAATATATCATTATTTTCATATTGAATTAAATGTTAATGCAATATTATCAAGCAAAATGATCATTTCATCAAGAATAAAATTTCTTGAAAGCGATTAAGATTGTCGTACTTGTCCAGTTTACACGCATGTCGGAAAAATAGCTAACTTCCGATGAATTGACCCTGGTGAATGGGGTTGAGAAAAATGCTCCATAGTAATTCAATCCGACGAAATCCAAAGAAGAATTTCTTAGTTTCTTAGATTCCTCATCTGAAAATGTTGGCAACCGGTTTGAGAGATCATGATCTTCTAGCATTTCCTTTGGATACTGTCCATATGTGAGAGGGCGTAGAAACCTGTCCATTTTTAGTTGAATAATCAAATATATATCACATATATCTAATATATAATCAAACACTATTTCAATTAATTACTCATGAATATATCCAAAATAAAAAAATATATATATAAAAACACACCAGCCGAGTTGGTACTCGAGGGACCGTCTCGCTGCCTCGATATCTTTACTCAAATTTGGATCTTGAGGCTCGAACCAGTGAGATACCAACACTATTCCAATTTTCCCTCCAGCACACTATTTTTGTAACATATCAATGAAATAATCAAACAATTATATTTATATATATTTACGGTTTAGGGTTATTATATATATGGAAGTTTTTTAACACTAACTTTTTTACAATTTCGGAATTCTTCAACAGCAGCAACATGAGCAAGAATTTGGTTGTGAGCAACTTTGTAAGGATCCCTCGACGAATCTCCAGAGGGCCATGCGCATTTGGGGAAACTCCACGGGGAGCATCGTCCTGGTGCTTTATTACCTCTCGAATAACCCGCGACGCTATAAACTGTAGGCTCGTTAAATGTCGCCCAATTCTTCACCCTATCTCCAAATTTATCAAAGCAGAATTTTGCAAACTCTCGGAAATCATCTCTACATTAAGTATTCGCATTAATTTGTTAGCAACAAAAATATATTTAAAAATTGGTTAAGAAATTCAAATAGTTGTAGAATTTTGAGTATTCCAATATACAAAATTAATGACTTACACAATCCTTTCGCTCAGGAACCCCCCGTACTCAATTTCTAGGGCAAGCGGAGATTCCCAGTGAAATAGAGTAACCGATGGCTCAATACCTGTCAATGATTATTACAAATGAAACAAAAAAGCTGTTACTATATTGCAAGTTTGAATAATTAGTTGAAAACATATACATATATGAGTTATATATAATATTATAAGATGTTTTACCCTTCTCTTTAAGTGCATTTATAAGATCGTTGTAAAACTTCACCCCATCCTCGTTTTCACGTATCTCTTTAGTTCCATCTGAAAATTG